GACCGTCAAGTGTGAATTCGAAAAGGTGTAGATTTGACTCGAAGTATTGATCTCAAACCAGATAATGCTGGCATAATATATGTTCTGATGGAGCTTTGAGCACGATCGGACTGTGGTTTGCAGTTTTATCAACGAAGCGCGCTTTTTGGTTTTCAAATCCTTAGATAAGGGATATTGTGAGCGCAGAATTCAATTAAACCATATAACCAACAAAATGTTTGGCTTCCAGGAAAACTTACAGGAATCTGGATGCATATGTTTGCACTTTTCCCATGTTTTCTGAGAAGAACATGTTAATCAAATAAAATGAGAGTAATGGATGATTTGATTCAATTTCAAAGAAGAAATTCGTCGTGTATAGAGTAAATAAAACGGGAACTGAAAAGGTAAGAAGCACTGTACAACTGTTTCGACCTGGTTGGGTCTCATCAGCAGTGCGAAGCCATCAACCCAACTGAAAATCGAACGCGGCACGTCACTGGCAGAACGCAAGCATGCATGTAACAAGTAGTCAGGTTGTGAAAATTGCCAATCGAGTCATAACCCCAAAGGTTAGTTCTGAGATAAGCGAGGCGAGATTTCTGCAACAAGCTCGCAAAGATGGGTCGTGCTCTATCGTGTAAATGGCAAATGGCAAAGAGTCTGATCAGTTGTCCCGTAGCCAAGTGGGTAGCATGCTTGAGTCTTGCCTGAGAGCATCCGGGTTCGATCTCCAGTTGAGTTGATGACTGCTAATGAGACCCGACGAATTCCTGCTTTTAAATCACCAAGTAACGTTGGGATAATAAACAGACCAGCTATTGAATCAGTTTCCTGTTTTTTTTTTCAATTGACTCGTGATTTCAGATGGGAGATGTTAGTAGTGTTGCCGAATAAACATGACGGCCTGAACACATTGTTGCCAAAACTGCAATCTGGTGGACTGAAAAGTGTATTGAGCGGGCCATTTGGTTCAATAAAAGCGGAACTTCATCTACCACGTTTCAAGTTGAGCGAAAATGAGGGAATCGAGGCAAAGACACTGTTGATGAAACTTGGCATGAACTTGGTGTTCTCGTCTACTGCCGCTAATCTGAAGCGAATGTGTGCGTCTGTGCCGTTGTTTGTTTCCGCTGTGAAACACAAAGCCGTTTTGGAAGTAAGTTTTTATCGAGCAAACCTCTTTTCACCCCGTACGGGATCACGGTTTGTTCATTGTGTTTCGTTCCACATATGTCGAATGCACGTAAATGTCCGTCGGGCCGTTGCAATCGCGCGCACCGATGATGATGATGATAATACATCACGCGATCATAATTTGGGGATAGGCATAACTAAAAGTGCTTTCACTTGTTTCGCGCGCTGAGAATGCAGTGTGAGGGACGTGATCGTCTGGTCACGAGTTATTAAATGTAGTATGGTTATTTGTGATTTTTCAGTCACTGTTCAATATTTTCCTCGTGTTTTATTTCTTTGTTTACCAGTTCGTTTTTGGATCCTGTGTTTGCTATTGATCAGAGCATAAATGAAATTCAAATTCACCTACCCGAATGGGACACCGGAAACCGTCGAGCGCATGCTTTGTCTCGTTGGGTATTTTTGTTACCTATGACCCATAACACGAACATAGATTAAATTTACGATGGGAAAGCGTTCACCCAGAATCACGTTTTCCATCCGGGTTTGANGAGTTCCGCTATTCACCTTTATGTACGGCTTGGCAACATTGCTTCACTCAACATCAAATTGGAAGTAACGCATCGTTTTCGACCCGAGAATTTTTGAATGTGCAACACTCTTCAAGTCAACCTCCTTGCTAAACTAAAACATATTCAACCGCTACGAAAACGGATTTTGTGTATTTGGATTTTATTGGGCTCTAATTTTTGTAGCATTTCATATCTGTCATACCCGTTTAAGTATGTGTCTCCTCTAAAATTACTCCGCACTGTTTACAGGTGGATGAAGAAGGAGCCACGGCTGCTGCTGCAACTGGCGTCAAAATACAACGGCGTTGTTTAGAAATACTTCCTCAGTTTCGCGTTGATCATCCATTTGTCGTGGCTCTTGTTTACGACGATGAAATACCTGTTTTCTTGGGGCACGTGACCGATCCAGAGGCAAACTAACGACTAATAGGATGGATGCACTTTTGTGTTTCAGTCTGGACAAAAGAAAATTTGCAAGAGCAACTGCCGATAGCTTTAACTAATATGTAATTGAACTGTTTTCATGCTCTCTTGATTATTTTATCAAATATTTTATAACGTTTCCGACCAAAGACATTTTCTTACAGATGTTTACTATTTTGCTTGACTATATATTTCAAAAAGAATTTTCTCATTATGTTTTTCAAAAGCCGAAATTCGTATGCACTGGTTCTTTCTTCTTTAACTGAAGACATCCACAACAGGGTTCAAAGAAAAACCGATCAAGCATTTATCCCTCATTGATTCGTTTGGTATGTGAAAGAATGATCACTGGGATGCTGAGCTTTTGCGTCTTTTGAAGCCACAACCTCTTGGTACATTGATTGCATACTGTTGTGAGAGGAGATATTAAATCGAAGCGATCACGAACACAGTGAATCACTGGTTTGTCGAGTAGGACATGGAATTGTATGCGTCAGAATGCTATGTCACATCGTCACCTTAGAAAAGTCGGTTTCCATATTTCCTTGAAAATCAACAACCGTCGCATATCTCAAGTAGGAAGTCCTTGTTCGATCAGCTGTTTCAGGATGTCAGTCGCAGCTTTAACACGTGCATGTTTACTTGGTCATGTCTTTGCGGATTCGAGTCAATGCTGTTATCAGTATCCATTTGATCACAAATGGTTTAAGCCACCCTAGGGTTGTAAGGCGCTCGCATGGTATTTGAACTTCCAAAATGAATAGTCTATCAAGTGGGCTGTATGTGGAGACGTCGCAATTATTGGTGATATAGCTCACTCACTACCGCCGAATCTGGTGGGACTTGATTTTGATGTATCAATCAGTGCCGAACATTGTCGTCTGATCTCCACCTCAGAGTGTATCCACTTAGTTTAGTGCTCCAAAGATGTCGATTTAGGAATTCCAGCGTCAATTCTTTGTCGCCAATGTGTTCACTTTTTGGAATCCCCACGAGTGAATTCTTTCGTGTTGAAACCTGGTGGAATACTGATGTGCCTCGCATTTCAGCTCTGGTGAAGCGATGTAAAACCATGGGAATGAAAATTACATTTTATTTTCTCATATCTATGTCCATGATCAACGTTTTACTCTCCATGACTTATCGCCCGGCTCATCTGTGCAAACGATCTGTAGGACAATAAACATGACCAGTTTATTCACGTTCCCAACGATGAAGCTAAACTTGGGGGGAATATTCGAAGAAGTTAGAACGCCGTGCACATGACCTCCTATGTTTTATCGATGTCCGAACGCTTCGCTGAGAGGACTATTATGAATGGGTATGAGAGAGGAACATGAATTGCGGTTGATCTGTGCGGTATTTCATAAATGCATATAGTAAATACCATGTACAGAGTAAATGGAGCGTGGACATAAAAGCTAGAGATCACTGTACAGCTGTCTCGACCTGGTTGGGTCTCGTCATTAGTGCGAATCCATCTGTTCAACTGGGGGTCAAACTCGGGACTTCACAGGCAGAACGCAAACATGCTACCCGCTCGACCACCAGGAACCCGGTGAGACCGTTTTTAATTTTACCCTTACACGGATAGAGCACAATCCATCTTTGCGGGCATTACCCGTCGTCCATCTCAGCACTGTCCTCCGGGGTTATGACTCCGTTGAATACAATCGATGGTGAGACCCATTCAGGCCGAAACAGTGGTATATGTTTATATATATTTACGTATTTTGCAACTTATTTACGTTTGATAATGAGTCAGTTTGGGCTGAAAAGTTACAATGAACGTTTGTAGCAGAATGTGAGCTTCCATTTTCTCTTGAACTACGATGTGTGTAGCCTGAGTTGCGGTGATTTTCACAATCATTCAAACGCAATGTTCTTAACTGTATGCAAGGAAATGGTAGAGCTATTCCAAACGTTCGTGTGCTATTCGTGAACAATCGTTCTTCCTCCATCAATGACAACGTAACCGCACATTTTCAGAAAAACATAAAGTTGAATCCACCCTTCAGCTCAAAAATTGTCAGAGAAACGGCAAGTGCCTGCTGCATAAGAATGTTTCGCGAACCGATCAATGATGCTCACCGACGAAGAAACAAAGCAAGGGCACGGATTGGATCAAATGAATAAGCAAAGTTTTATGGAAGAGATATCAATCACAAACGGTATGAAAAGAAGAATAAGACTAAACAAAAAACTTGATGAGAACGGAAACGCAACGTATTCAGGATATTCTCAGCCCGCTCCCTTTGCCAAACACTGACTCATGTCAAAAGAAAGGTCTGAAATTCAACTACTCTAATGCCAAACAGACCATCTTTATCGTATCTTTGAAATACAGACTGAGAAATTGTTCGTTACTAGGATAAAAAGGAAGGACATTCGGGTCAAAATATGCCAAGAACCAATCCAAACAATCTAATTCGGTCCCGGATCCCGCCAAACATCACATGATCTCATAGGCCATTGCTTTGGCCAGTTTTTAAGTACATTCAGGCGAGCGTGCTTATGTGAGTTAACCGCAACACTGGATTGTAAAATGAATGATGATTCCAGTCCTCGAGCGTCAACATCATGCAGTATGATGTATAGTGCTCATTTGACTGTCTCTAGAATGTCCGATCGCTGTCTGTGTTGTAAGCAGCTCCCAGATGCACGTGTGTGTATAAAACAGGACGAGACTATGTGCATCTGTGAGCGGTTCAAACTGTCTCGATCCATAATGATAGTCTGTCAGTTTTAACCACTGATCTAATCTGTAGTAGTAAAACTAATATTTTGACATAGATCTCGTTATGCATAGCTGTGCTGGGATCGGTGAAGTGCTGTACACTTCCGTTGATACGATACAGTAAAATCAAGGATAACGAGTCACCTGAACTGCTAACCTCAAGTAATGCAAAAAAGTAATCATTCAAGCTACATACTCCAGAGATGAAGTACTGGCACTTTACAGATCCCGTAAATGCACAAATCATCCTCCAGTGCAGAAGTACGCTGAACCTAATACAACCTGATTTTAGTTAATGATGTTCACCCTCAGGGAAGATGTTCTCCAATGAAGTCCTTTGAGGAAAATTGCGTTTCAATTGATACGTGTTCCTGGCTTCAAGTAACACGAACGTCATGAAAAATGGAAAACCATCAGGTATGCTATGGACAGCTTATTCTGATTTGCCAGTATTTTTTATGGTGCTACACAAAATCCCATCCGAATTATGTGGCATATATGCGCAGTTGTGGTTAAAACAATTATGAAACACAAAGCATTACAGACAGAAATGAGTGTTTTCAACCACCATGTCTATTTTTGCATAAGGGAAAATTTGTCCAGTCCATTCCACAATTCTCCGTACACTATTATGCTTTGGATGTGCAGTTGATGTTCAATGAATTGGGACAATTTTGTTCTGCATTTCGAATTCCGTTTGTTTCCTGTTGTGATGTGCGCGTGGCACTTCAAATTTATTTTATCACAAATGTGTGATTCAATTGTGTCACTTCCGCCGCCCCCCCCCNCCCCCCCCCACCGTTATTCCCGCTAAACTATGTAGTTTCCTGAAGTAGTGTTCTACGGTACTGCAGTTAGTTGGTCCCTTGAATGGTGGGATTGTTTCCACGTATTATCACCTCTAATAATTTAGCTCGCATCTGTCCAACCAATTTCCTCTTAGCGAAATCGTCCTGTTTTAAACACATTGGTCGCGGTCCCCCATTGGAGCAAGTTATCGACCTCCATAGGTTACGTTGGTTGAGACATGTGTTACGCAAGTCACCAGATAGGTTGCCACGGCGAGCGATGTTCACCGAGGCAAGTAATGGGTGGCCAATCTAAGACCTGGCACGAGGGTATGAAAACCCTGACCAAGAGACTGGGTCACATAAGTCCTGTTAGGCTCCCTGACTGGGGACCTCGGGATGATCGAACGCGATGGTTAGAGACACTGCGAGATATGGCTGGGTGGCGTAAACAGTGGCGTTCTTGCATCCTCGCAATTTCTTTGCTAACTTAGACCACTGAATTTCTCCATTTTCTGTTCGAATCTACCTTCAATTTTCCTGTGTTCTATTATTCATCCAAATGGGCAGCCAAAAGACGGCAACCAAAACCGGCGCACGAAAGTGCATGGTTAATGGTTGTTCAACCTGAAACTGATTGGTCGTTGTTGCTAAGTTTACCCAGTCATGGTTATTTATACATCCGATCCCCATAGCCACATGCAAATCTCTCATGTAGCGTGTCTGCTATCAAGCAACAAATTCGAACTGCATTTTAATTGTAGGGTTTCGTGCACAATTCCTAATCATCACTCTCATCTATCCGTTCAAATCGATCCACTTCAGTGCTCTTTCGGTATTTTATTTTTCCATGACAATTCTTTTGTTTCGTACGATGGAATGATACACAAACAGATTAGTGGATTTCAAAATGATACCGTAGAGCACATTAATACTGGCAGGCAGATTCAATCGTTGCTCAGCTTTATTGATTGCTTAACACAGTTGAACGTGTTCCGGTTTTTATTCCATGCGAATTGATGGAAACAATCCGTTCATGGTGCTAGTTTCCTCAATCCCTGAAAGTTTGTCTGCTTACGAAGAATTCACAGACCATGTTTCGTTAATCTGCATGCAATAAAACAAAAATGTACTCAATATTTATCGGCAAAGAGCTGGAGTTGAAAACTAGCCACTTAATTCAAGGGTAGGGGGTTCAGCCTCTCAACGCGAAGGTTTGTCGCCCGGATACAGAGATAGTAGATATTGTTGATGAGTCCAAACAAGGGCAAAACAGAGGTCCGGGACGTTTTGTGAACCTTTAAACAAAAATCGTTGCCAAACGTTCTAATTCTGAATGCGGTTTCTCAGTTTAGATTTCCCGTCTCAAACTGAATTACGCAAACAGTATTAGCTGAAATTCAAATCGACTTTTGTTGATTGGATGTGAATGCGGGTTACACGAATGCCCATGATTCAGATACGGTTTATGC